GGGCGTTGTTGATGGCTTTGGGGCCCCTTAGACCCTAAACCCTAACCCCCAACCCTAAACCCTAAAGGCTTTTCAGGATTTAAGGATGTCTCCAGCAGAGGGCTGTTCAAGGCGTAGGGTGTGGGGATGTTTGTTTTTCAGGGCTTTGGGTCCATGAGTAGGCCAAACTACTCAACTCCATGCGTCTAAGTGCTTTGGCTGGCTCACTAAACCCCTAGCCGCTAAACCCTAGACCCCTGACGGGTCAACGACTGGGTGGCGGAGGTCCTGAATCTCGTCTAGAGCGCACGTGTTGCATGGACTCTCAAAAAGGCCCGGCATGTTTAGAAACCCCTGTACTGGTTTGCAGAATGGTAACCATAGCCCCCATGAAGGTCATGAGGAGCAGTAGAGGCCAAGGAGGAGAACATGTCATGGTCGCGTGACCTCAGTATCAGCTTCCATCCCGTAATAGCCCTATAGAAGCCCTGTGGAAAGCTTCAACATGCTTACAACTTGCTCTTGTTTTTACACACGGTATAAGCCTGTGGGCTTAGGGCTGATGATGTTCAAGGGTTTGGGCTTTGTGTCCAGAGAACCTGCCATGTTTTTTTTTTTTGTGAAATGACAGTAATCGTGTTCAGGGCGCTGTGTAAACCTTCTTTAGCTGCATCACCACTTTGCAAGTTGTAGACATGCATCTGGAACTTAAGCCCCGTTCAGATTGTTTTTGTTGCCAACATTCCCGCCTATAATCCTTGTAGGGGGCCCTATCATCCATGTAATCCCCATACATCCCTAGTGTTCCTGGGATAGCACAAGTTTGCCGAAACCTTGGGTCTAAGATTTCCATGTGAGCGCTGTGTTTTCGTTGTAAAAGCTGGGGCGACAATGAAATTCCCTAAGGGTCCAAGTACCCAATGGGTTTAGGGTTTAGGGTTTAGATACCTATCCAAAACCTGTACGATGATTGCTATTACCCAAAACCCAAGTACCTAATCATTAAATAGTTGTAAATCCTAAACCCCAAACCCCGAACCCTATATACCCTTATGTGCCCCCATATACCCCCACAGATAGCCCTTGAAGGGGACCTGTATACCCTTATACATCCCGCTACACCCCTATATCCCTTACTACATAACTCCTTGGTAAGGACATCCTCCCCGTGGAGGAGGCGATGGCCTCCGGGGTTGCTCTCCGAGAGAAGGCACCGCAGATGACGGGTCCGAAGTGATTGGGTTTCAGGGTTTAGGGGTTGGGGTTAAGGGTTTAGGGATTAAGGGTCTAGGGTTTAGGGATTAGGGTTTAGGGTTTGTGTCGGTTTTACCCAGGGGCTCCTATGTACTTCCTTTTTGGGTCTGCCATGGTTTTTGGTAAGGGATCATCAAGTATACTATCCAAAAAGGAACTATATACATTGGAGCGTCTGGTTAGGGTTTTAATGTTCCGGAGTTGAAGTCTATATGTCGAGGCTCCAGGGTTTATAGTCTCCCTTAGGTAGATAGAATATGGAATTGCCCAATATCATACTAAGATCCCCATATACCCCATATTCCATCCACTTAACTGGGTCTATAGTAGTTTGGGGTTTAGACCCTAAACCCTAAACCCTCGCGAGTCTCCGTGGCAAGATGATAAGTGGTAGGGTTAAGGGTTTAGGGCTTGGGGGTTATAAGGTTTAGGATTTAAGGATTATTAGGTTTAGGGTCTAGGTGTTATATGTCAGTTTTCGGGTCTAGAATTTAGGGGTGATAAGATGCAGGGTTTAGGGTTTAGTGGTTGTAAGGTTTACGTAGGGTTTAATAAGGCTAGCATCATGTAATAAGCTTCATGATCTTAGTTTGCTGTAGGTACCATAAATCCCATAGGCCGGGTTTAGGGTCTAGGGTTTAGGGATTATAGGGTTTAGACCCTGGGCACTTTGGGGCATGCTTACACAGCCTTTCAAAAACAACTGCGTGAGCCCTATACCACGTTCCTAAAATAGCGCACCCTACACCTCTACTCCAAGCCTACCTAAGCCGAAGCCCCGACCCCCTGCTACTACTCCTTAAGGGTCCAACGACCCAAATAATGGGGTTTAGGGCCCAAATACCATTAATATCAGAGTATTCGGCTAAAGCCCTGTTATTTGGGTCCTTGCACCCTTAGGGACTAGTGGAGCTGGGCCCTTGAGCCGCGCAGGAAACGTTCTGGCCTGGACGCCCTCAGAAGCCAAGGCGCGACAAGAGGTTTAGGGTTTAGGGTTTAAGGGTTTAGGGTTTAGGGTCTAGTGAGTGTACTGGGCGGGACGAGCTATAGTGCCTCTTCGTATCCGGAGATGTCCTTAAGGTCCCGCCCTCTAGAGTCACATACAGGGTCACTGTGGGAAATGGTTTGGAGCTGGCCAGGTTAGAAACCTAATTCAAAATGGCAAGCCATATTTTGTACCGCTAGGAGTATCCGACTAAGGAACCAGTTGCGCCCCTGAGGAGAAGATGAATCGATGTCATCTTTCAATCTTGAGGTATCGCCCCTCCACTCACTTAGGAACCTTGGGAAGCAGTTAAGTAATCCTACGCCATTTCCTTACAAGAAGCACCCCCAAAAAGAATATTTGAACCCTTGGATCCAAATGCTTCCCAGTCCCCCTTAGTGCCCTAAGGCCGACAACGCTAGATTCTGAACGCCGAAGTCAAAACTCTTGGATGCTCAGCCTCAAGCGAAACCCCAAGCCCTTGAATCCTCGAATTGCAACCCTTCTGCCCAAACATCATCAACTTTGAATTTGGAAGCATAAAGCCCTGAACCACCAAACCCTCAAGACTCCAAACCGTAAGCCCCAGAACCCAATTCCGGAAACCTCAAATCCCAGGGCCTGAGCAACCAAACCCTGGAGTTTGCACGAATCCCGCAAAAGAGCACCAGTAGCAGGAATGGTTATTCGCATATGAGTTACAGAGTTACAGGAATATTAATACAAAACACCTTCCTAATACTACCTCCGAGGGGGGGGGCTGCGCTTTTCTGAAAAACTGCACAACGTTGCTACCTTCGCGTTTCTGGTGGGGGGTGGGGGGGGGGGGCGGTAATTACGTTCGTGAAGACAGTAAGCACAACAAGCTCCGAAAACACATCTCACAAACTTAGAAAAACCTGTGAGAAAGCTTGTCCGAGTATTAGCAAGGCGGATGACTAGGTTCTTGAGGTTCGTGAAGACACTAAGCACAGCAAGCTCCGAAAACAAACCTCTGAAACATTCAAACTTTTCAAAGAACGCTAAACCCGAAGCCCTAAGCCCCAAATCCTAAGCCCTCTTCCTGGATCATGCGACTGGATCCAGCGAAGCGTGAACCAACCTCTTCAAAACAAGTAGTTTGCAATCCCCCCAACTCATGCCCTGTCCCCTCTAAAAGTGCCGGTGAGGGCAGTATTTTTGCACTCCGGAATGCCTTATACTGCACCGTCGCTGGCGCGACGTGCGCCTCCTACTACTACCACTACCACTACTACTACTACTACTACTACTACTACTTCTTCTACTGCTGCTGCTGCTACCTCTACTGCTACTGCTACTGCTACTGCTACTGCTACATAGGCGGAGGCTGCAAGAAACACTGATGACGATGTCATAACAATAGCCATGCTAGCGCAAATACTCAGAATGCTAATGCACGATCTGGCAGAGGCTTCAATGGCCGCTTGTCTTGGCCTCCTTGGCGCTGGTTACGGCCGCTGGAATTGCCCTGTCCCGGCGGCAACGGAGTCAGTGACGCACGAGCGGATGGGTTTAGCGTTACCTGAACCCTAAATCAAATGTTAGAATCAGTGCCTTTCTGGCGATCCCGTTGGGTTTTATTGTGCCATGGTGTTTTTCTACTTTTGGGGTCCCGATATTGGTTTAGGTTTTAGGTTGCAAAGTTACGTGATTCAGGGCATAGGGCCCAGGGCTCCGGGTTTAAGGCTTACATCTACCCTAAGCCCTAAACCCTAAATAGTAGTTCCCATTTTCCATTATCCCAATTTTCTACTTAAGGAGGATTATAGACTCTTGGAGTCCTTGTTTCCGGTGTTGTTGGATTGAGGGTTGAGAGGTCTTGTCGATTTTTTTGATCCTCTACCAGGAACAGTAGGTATCCAGGAGTTGTCGGGCCCTAAACCCTAAACCCTAAACCCAAATACCTATGTCATCCCCAGACCCGAAGCTGAAAACTAGAGCATGGCTTACGGCGAGCTCGGCTTGTGCGGATCTGCATCATTTGACATCACGCCAGGGCTTAGGTGTGTGGGGTTCAGGGTATGCCAGAAAAAGCCTAAACCATAAACCCGAAACCCTAAACCCCAAAACCCAAAACCCCAAAACCCAAACCCCAAAACCCCAAACCCCAAAATCCTAAACCCCAGAAACCTGTGTCACAGATGCAAGACAGAAGCCTTTTTTCACCCGCGGAGCGGTCCGCTTGGGTCTCACATTTTCTGCTGCCCGCATGGCCTGTAAAAGCTTTTTGGCGAACAGCCCTAAACCCTAAACCCTAAATCCTACACCCTAAACCCTAAACCCTAGGGTTTAGGGGGTAGAGGTTCGAGCTTGGGAGTGTTTACCCAGACCCTCCAAGGTAGTTCCTTTTATGGGTAGCATATTGTAACCCGTTCCCAAGAACCCTAAACCCTAAACCCTATAAACCATAACAGACCCAAAAAAGGAACTACATAGGAGCCCTTGGCTAAGGTTAGCAAAGGATTTAGGGTTCAGGGGTTTAGGGGTTTATGGGTTTAGGGGTTTAGGGTTTAGGGTTTTTTTCCCGGACCTTCAGGGGAAGGGCTGTGGGCTTTGCATCGAAAAACTATGTTTGAGAGTGTACGATTTAGCGTTTCAAGGCCTTTGCCCTACATCCCCAAACCCTAAACCCTAAAGCCTAAGCCCTAACCCCCAAACCTAAAACCCTAAACCCTAAGCCCTAGGCGTCTCGGCTACAGGTTGCAGGTGCACGCCCAGTTTTTGTTTAGTACAGGTCCTTTTGACCACACCGCCTGAAGCCATGGCGGAACAGGCACAAAGTTCTGGAGGGGATGGTCAAGCCATCCAAACCTTCCAGGCCCAGCGAGTTTTGACGCACTCCCCGGCAGTGAAGGCAGTACAGGAAATGTACTGGAGGGAGCGCGCGAGCAACAAGCGCGGACCGCCTACACCAGTGGCAAGCTCCTCGACCACACCGCAGGAGGCCGCTACGGCGATTCCGGATCTCAGCACGCCGACGCTCGTACAGCCGTGGTCCCTTCAAGACCACACCGCCTCGCAGTTAGTGGCGGCAGAGTTTGGCGTGGACGTGAACAAGCAGGCCAGTGTGGATGAGTGGTTGAGTGCTCCAGTGCAGACCAACAAGGACGTCATGGCGATCGTCCGCAATTATCACGCAAAAGTGATACGGCCTGAAATGTACCACTTGGTACTTCAGGTGGAAACAGCGCTGGGAAAGCTCTCCGATGAGTTATTCCACACAAGGCAGGAGCTGGCGTGGATGGCCAGTGACAACCGCCTGCAGCAGAAACAGCACTGTGCGCTGCAGATCATCAGCAGTGGGTGGCCTCAGGGAATGGGACCTGATGGCAGGGCATTCATGATAGGCTGGATGCTTCAACAGGTGCGGAAGATCAGGAGCTTCTTGGAGGACCGTGGTCACATCGATGAGCTCTCTGAAGACCACACCGCCCGCTGGATGAACGTGTTTTCGGTCGAGCCCGTGACAATCCCTCAGGGATCTGAATGGTGGTCAGGTATGACCCTGCTGACATTCAAGAGCTTCGACCTACGCTCAGCTTTCCTTGAGCGCTTTGGGGGGCAAGGAGGGACCCCAATCTACTCCAACCCCACAAC